GGCGGGGGCGGGGCTTGATGGGGGCGGGGCGAGGTGCACTCCACGCCCCTGCCTTCTTGGCACCTCCGGCCGGCTTCGCGCACTCGCTGTCAGTGGCTGGGTCGCTCAGAGATGAGGCGGGAGAGAAGCGGACGGACATTCGTGCTAGCCAATCAGCGGCTTTCCTGGTTCTGCCCGCCCTGCCCCACCGTCATTTTCCTGGAGGCTCCGCCCCTCTTTATAAAGTTGTAGTGGACAGAGGCTGAGAGTGGAATTCATCTTTTCAGATACGAAGTTCCACTGACGTTTCGAAATGGAGTGGGGGTCACCACCTCCCTGGGCTCCTCACCACGTGTTTTCCAGGCAGGTCAGAAGAAGCAGGTGGACGCCCGGTTCAGGCAAAGAAGCAGGTCTTCACCTCTGCAAGCTTTTCTTTCCTAGGCATAAATAACATGGAGCCTGTAAAACAGAAATAGACAGATTACCAAGGTCACTCCTACTCTAGAGCGCACACCATAAGGCATCTCTCAAATATCCATACCTGTGTAGAGATGAAGGTTCCCGCAACACATGGTCCTTGAAGGGCTAAGTAAATTTTTGTCCTGTGAAGGTGCTTGGCCTGTAGTGTGCTGCTTATTGTCAGTGTTGTTAATAGAATTCGCCAGATGGTAATAAAGACAGCAAAAGGGTTAGTTAACAAAAGCTGAATCCAGCAATGGAAGGAAATTCATAACATCCGGGGTCAGGAGCTCACCTCCTGCCCATCTTTAGGAGGATATTAGTGTAAAGTCCTTTGTCAACAATAAATAGCTAAGTGTATTGGATGACTGTTCCTGCTTTGGGTCCTAGACCCCTTTTGTTCTAAATTTCCCAGAGCAGTATTGGTAAACTGGCACATGACTGTCAATGACTGACTAGTCCAAGAGCAGATGTGCATCCATTAATAATAGCTACCATTTATCCAGACCTTTAGACACTGACATTTTGCAAACGTTTCATCTCCCATCCTCACAATGCTACAATATATGTTTGCTATGATTTGACTCTGTCTTCCAAAAAGCTGTATTGGAGATGCAGTGGTGTTGGGAGATGGGTACTTAGGACATAAGGGCTTCACGAGCCCTGAGTAGATAAATGTTCCTGATGAAAACGTCCGAGGATGTCAATGCAATCTCTCACAAATGCTCTTTAGCCCCTTTGCTTTCAGGTGTAATTGGCAAACAAGGCTCTCTCACTAGATGAAGCTCTCCCACTTTAGAAATGTCTTAGGTTATGTTATTCTGTTTTAACCCACCAAATAGACTAGGGCAGTGTTGTCTCACCATTTTACAGATGAGCCAGCACAAGCCCTAGAAAGTGGAAGTACTCTTTGCATTATGCCATTCTAATGCCTCACTAAATATTTAAAAACAGGTCAGTAAAGGAATAAAGAAAAGATGAAAAATAAAGAAAATTTATATCTTGTTATTATATATTATTGATTAACTTTTTTTTTTCTTTACTGGGAATTTAAACATGGGCCTTACATATTCTAGGCAAGTACTCCAATACTGAGCTAATGTTCCCCAGCCTATGAGTAAAATTTGTATTGAAGAATTTCTTCTAGGAGCCTGGGGAGATGGCTCAGTAGATAAAGCATGTGCCCAGCAAGCATGAGAACCAGAGTTTCGATCCCCACAATCTACATAAAAACCAGGCAGGTGTAGTGGCCACCTATAATCCCAGCACTTGGGAGTCAGAGACAGGGGATCTGCCAAGCAAGCTGGCTAGCTAGATCAGCCCCTCAGCAAGCTCTGGGTTCAGAGAGAGAACGTGCCTCAATAAACAAAAGTGGAGAGTGATCAAGGAAAGCAGCAGCATCATCTTCAGGCCTCTACTTGCCCACACACATGTGCATGCGCACATACAGAAACACATACATGCACATACAAATGTACGCATACACATGTGTACACTAAAAAGTGATCATTTATTCTGGGCTGGGTCTGTGGAAGTGATCCTAGGAGGACACAACCACTTGGTAAGATCTCCACCCTCAGGAGTCCACAGAACAGCTCTCCTGCTTCGTAAACATAAGTAGCATTTTGAAAAAGCCTAATACCACCCTCACCTATTTATACAGCCTCCTTTGACAGTTATATGTATCTTCATTGCCTCTTCTCATAATGTTAATGCCCTCCCGTCTAATCCTGTATGGCCATGGGAGGGGGAAAACTGTACTCTGAAGTTCTATGCATGGAAGTTCCACAAAATATGTGACTTGAAGAAGGACCGGGTGACTGAAGTTTATCGAATATCCTGAGCAGCATAAAGAAATCAAGGCTCATGGGAGGAAATTTCATGCAGTAAAAAAAAAGGTGCCGGGCATGTTGGCACATGCCTTTAATCCCAGCACTCTGGAGGCAGAAGCAGGCAGATCTCTGTGAGTTCAAGGCCAGCCTGGTCTACATAGTGAGTTCCAGGACAGCTGGGGCTACAGGGAGACCCTGTCTCAAAAAGACCAAAAAAAAAAAAAAAAAAAAATAAAAAAAAAAAAAAAAAAAAAAAAAAAAAAAAAGCCTTACAATGCAAAGAATGACAGGTATTAAAAGCTGCTGTAGAACAGCTCCCAAGAGAAGAGGTGTACTGTGTATGTGGCCAGCCTCTCTGGGTATAGTATCTGTACCCAAAACTCTTCATAAGGCAGCCGGTCTCCTCTAGTTTCAGGGAGTGGACTCATGATAACTGAGTTTATTTCAGGAGACTGTCAGGCAAATAAAGGATTGGCGGTGGGGAGGGGGGTGAGTTGAAACCTAGGGCCTGTGTGTGCTAGGCAAGCATTCAGCCACTGAGCCAAATTCCAGCCTGGAATCTTCAAAGAAAGCCTCTCTCCCCACCTGAGGAAGAAGGAGGGGACAAGACAGGAAGAGAAAGCGAGACCTAGGTTCTAAGGCGGTATTTGACACCTTCTAGTGTCCTTTAGTTCAAAAACTTTAGTATGCTAAAGAAGTTCCATATTTGGGGATATCACTTTCTGAGACTCAACAAAGAAAATCAAAATCCTTGGAATAGTGATTTTTGAAAATAGCAGACCAACCTTGGTGAGGAAAAGGCTGAAAGAAAATTATTTAACTGATAGATTTTTGAAAAATAAATGAGAAGAAAACCAGACTTGATCCTTAATCTCATAGAGTTCAGAGTGGAAGTCACCAGTCTGTAACCAAAGATCAACAATACAATATGGTCAAATTTCAAATGCTTCTAATACTCTCAGTCAAAGCGAATGAGATGGGGCTGCCCACTACAGGAGATGATAGATGATATGAAAGTGTTTGGAAAAGCTACAGAGAAAATCAGTAGACTTAAACTGATCCATGAATGATGATATATGCGGGGAGGGGAAGGTTTAGTGAGACAAGAGGTGAGTGGTATTATGCTCTATAGAAATGGGAACAATAGGATTTGATGAGTTTCTACATTCTTCTAAATGCATGGCTTCCAGAGAAGACATGGCAATGCCAAAGCCCCACTCCTGATGTCTCACCTATACATTACTTCTTCTCTAGCCCTTATGACATCCTTTACAAAAAACTGGCGAACATAGGGAAGTGCTTCTTTGATTTATCTGAACTTTCCTAACAAATGATCCACCTGAAGAAGGGGAGTTGTAAGACCCCCTTATATGTAGCCATTTAATCTGAAGCATGCATGACAACCTGTGTGACTGGCTTCTAAAAGGAGTGTTGTCTGATAGGATCTGACCCATCTCCAAGTAGATACTGTCAGAAATGTCTGGCTGGATTGGAAGATACCCAGCTATTAATGCCCACTGAAGATTTCTTGGTATATGAGAAAAATAGAAGGAAAACCTTTTTTCCCCCCCTTTCACAGTACCATTGCATTAAATGATTAAATGAATGGGTAATTTAAGGGGAAATTATGGTTGTTAGTATGATCTTAGGAACATTGGTGAATATACTTGTGTCTTCCCACAGTGTCAGAATTTATTGAATAACAATAAATGCACATGATATGTGGTCCATTGACAGCAACTTGCTTTCTTTGATGGCCTTGACAGCAGCAAACACAGACCCTCCAATCTTAATCATCAATATTAACTCTCAGATTACATTTTACATGTCACAGTAATTATACTTCTGCATAGATGTTAGAGAAAAAGAAAGGGGGGGGGAGAGAGAGAGAGAGAGAGAGAGAGAGAGAGAGAGAATGAATTAGATTACAGAGTGACTACAAAGAGTTAAAGAGGCATGGAGTTTTAAAGAGTTTCAGAGAGGCCTAAGAGGACAAAGTTGGGAAACTGAGTGAAGAGTCTCTGTTGGATAACAAAGCATCCCAGATGGAGGTCTTTTTTTTTTTTTTTTTTTTTGGTACAAATTATTTATTTTTATTTTATGTGTATGATACCACATAAGTATACCACATGTGTGCAATGCCCACAGAGGCCTGAAGAGGGCATCGGATCCCCTGGAACTAGAGTTACAGATGAGTCAAGTAACCATGCACTGAACTGTGAACCAAAATAAATCTTTTGCCCCTTAAGTTTTTTCAGACATTTTGTCACAGCTATGTTAAAGTGACTAACAGTATTGCACATTAGTAAATGACATCTATAAATTCCTCAATAAATCCATCCTAAAACCAAAAGAGACATACAAATTATACAAATTGGTATATCCATTTTACCATCTGGAATTGATGTATTGTTTTTCTAGTCACTTGATTTTACCTACCTGTTTTCCAATGGTTTTATTTTGTTATACTTCAAAAGAGCATATCACAGCATCCTTAATAAGATAATTATTTTATAATTTGTTTATTTTTAGTTATTTTAGGGGCTGTTTGTTTGAGAC